TCTTTAGTTATTTAAGTTTTTTATGAAAACGACAAAGTTTTTTAAAAAATAATAAGAGTAAGAAAAGTTTTAGAATTAAATTCCACATGAAATGAAGTAGTAATGTATTAAATCCGCCAAAAGGTTAAAAAAATTTGTCAAAATTTAGGGTACCATCACCCTTAATCAACCCTATGAAATGCCTCAATTGAGTTCAATTTGCTATCAATTAATACCCTTGGTACACTCATAACGTATACCAAATTTGGTTTTTCTAGCTTAACGTATTACGAAGATATTGAACTTTTTAAAAATTTAAGACTCAACTTTGAAGGCCTATAACTCCTGAGGTGTACAACTTAGTATAGAGGTACGTTACGTTAAATCATCTTAATTTATTGTCCTCTACATGTTCCTGCTCTGTGTCGGTTCTTATGTGACTCACCCTGTATAATGGACTTCGTATTTTTAAGTCAAATTAATATTACCTATTTATCCAATCCAATGTTGCATTTGATATAGAAACACTTGGGTACATAGTATCTTATGATAGCCGCTTTGGTTTTATTCAGCCACTCTTATATCTAACACTGCTTTCATGTACACTAGATTTTTATCACTTTTACTATACAGGGTGATTCTCAACCTATACGTATAAACTTGGGGAATTATTCCTCATGACGAATAATGAGTAATAGGTGAAAAAAATTGTAGCAAAAGGTTTTTAGTTTCCTAGATATCGATGAAATTTACTTTTAAATCAAGAATACATATAATATTTTAAAATGACATCAAAGCAAGTGTTCCAAGTTGTTTCCAATATTTTCTATACACAATTGGGTTTGCTGAATCCACGATGTCCCACTACCGACATGGTATGAGGATGGCCTATACCAGTATCTGATTTTATAATCCTTGCTCAGTATTAACTTCCTCAATATTCACTTTCTCAGCTGCAATGTTAAATGGCTGTGATAACCACTATATGCCATCCTCAGTATCAGCCAAGAGGACAGCATCATCTGCTTAGCAATCAATTTTGATTTTATACTTTGTGATGTTTGCCCTGTTCCTAGATACAGGTGCACGTGTCTAGGATGCAAACTCCTCTTAGATTCTACCGTCCTTGGTATAAAAATATAAAGCCACATAGACTAAACATAGACTTAAAAATTATTCATATAACGGACTTTTGGCTACAACGGACAACTCCCTTCCCCGTATTAATTAGTCCGTTATATCGAGGTTTCATTTTAATATGTATCATCTATTCTTTCTATTTTTTTAGGGTTTCTTTGCTTTATTACAAAACTGCCATTTAGGTTTAGAGTACATGGTGGAAATCTTAACACTTTTCCTCGATTTGGAAAGAGGAGTCGGTAGTGTTCATCCAGATTTTCGTTTGTGGATAACTACAGAACCACATCCACATTTTCCAATCAGTTTACTACAAATTTGTATCAAATTTACGAATGAACCGCCAGCAGGAATTCGAGCTGGTTTACTAAGAACGTACACCTCAATGAGTCAAGATATGTTAGATTACACTGATTTACCGCAATATATTCCAATGATTTACGGAATCTCGTTTTTACATACCGTAGTCCAAGAAAGAAGAAAATTTGGTCCTCTGGGTTGGAATATTCCTTATGAATTCAATTCTGCTGATTGGTTAGCAAGTTGTATGTTTGTTCAAAATCATTTGGAAGATTTAGATCCGAAACGTGGGGTTAGTTGGAGTACCGTCAGATACATGATTGGCGAGGTTCAATATGGCGGAAGAGTAACTGATGATTATGATAAACGTCTATTGAATACTTTTACCGTTGTTTGGTTTGGCGATTTTATGTTCTCCGAAGAGTTTGAATTTTATAAAGGTTATAAAATTATTAAATTAAAAACTACAAATGACTATTTGGATATGATTGATAAGTTTTCACCCTCGGATCCACCGCAAGCTTATGGATTACATTCGAACGCTGACATTACATATCAGACGAATACTACTAGCAGTTTGTTGTTGACGATTATGTCGATTCAACCTAAAGAAGCTGGCGGTGGCGGTGGTGAGACACGAGAAGGTACTGTTAAGAGAATGGCTTTGGATATGAGCGGTAAATTACCGAAAAACTATGATGCTTTTGAAGTTAAAGAGAGACTTAAAATTATGGGAATATTAAATCCATTGGTTATATTTTTGAAACAAGAAATCGATCGTATGAATAAAGTTATCTCGTTGGTAAGAATTACTTTAAGAGATTTACTCTTGGCTATTGAAGGAACTATAATTATGAGTGAGGTACGCTTAAATTAAAAAAAAACTTAAATTTTAGATATTTATTTTCCATTATGTTTACTTACAGACTTTGAGAGAAGCTTTAGATTGTTTCTTCGACGCAATGGTACCATCTAGCTGGAAAAGGTACTCTTGGCAGTCGAGCAGTATCGGTTTCTGGTTTACTGAACTTTTAGAACGAGATACTCAATTTAGGACTTGGTGTTTCCGTGGAAAACCGGTCACGTTTTGGTTAACCGGATTTTTTAATCCTCAAGGTAATAATATAGTATAAGAACATCTGACCAGTAGAGAAAAAGAATGCTCACCGGATCACTGCACCAATCTTCTTTAACTTCAAATACTGAATTAATTGCGTTGATGAAATTTGATTCAGTACAGTTATGTCTAGATTTCAGTAATATTCCGTTTGATGAGTTGAATGGTAACGTTATGATTTATTTTATAAGTAACTTTTTTCTTTCTCTTTTTATTGAACGTTGGCATTTATTAAAATTTAGAGTACAGTTTGGAAATATGTTCACATTATGTTTTGAAGATAATATCTTTCAAATGATGCCCATTGTTTGGTTCCACTTGACGTGCTCTTCCCAGAGCATTTTCAATTTATCTGTTGGATGGTTCTTGGCTTATTGGCATACACCGTACCCTTTAGGTAGCCCCAAAGATAATAATCGGGCGAACGCGGTGGCCAGTTAAAATCAGAAAAACGGGATATTATTCGATTGCAAAAAGATTCCTTAAAAATTTTGTTGCCGAAAACGCATTTCGAACATGAAAGAAATTTCGATATGAACTTTATGACTGAATAATCGAATGCTGACTTTTGAGAATCGATAGAAGTCTCTGCAGGTTGTCCTCAGTATCTGCGATTAGCACTACATCGTCTGATAGTGCTAATGTTAATTTTACTTTTAGTTATTATGTAGCGGCAAGTTGTTGTATATTTTGATTGAACTAATATTAGACCTAGAATTTGAAACATTCGGGTTTGACCGTGCATCTCAAGCCAGCTAAACCTGAATATTTCTAGTTCTAGTGCTAGTGTTAGTTCCAGTCTTAGTGTTAGTTATAGTTTTAGTTGATATTCAGCGCCAGGTTGTTGTATATTTATACTCAACTAAAAATAGAACTACATATTATATGAAAAATTAAACCAAAATCTTATTTAGGTTTTTTAACTGCTATGAGACAAGAGATTGCTCGCGCTCATAAAGGTTGGTCTTTAGATCAATGCGCTTTACACAATGAAGTGACGAAAAGTGCTAATGAAGAAATTGCTGGTCCCCCTCCTGAAGGGGTACTGGTTTATGGATTATATTTGGACGGTGCTGGATGGGAGAAACGTAATTCGAGACTACAAGAAGCTATTAATAAAGTTTTGTATACCCTTTTACCTGTAGTATGGGTATTTGCTATAAATTCTGTAGCACCCAAAGATCCTAAATTGTATACTGTAAGATTTTTTAAATTCAATTTCTTCGATCAATTAACTAAAATTAATTATTACGTTTTTAGTGTCCCGTATATAAGAAATCTAGACGAACAGATCTCAACTATATTACACCTTTATGGTTGGAAACTTTAAAGCCTCCGGAGCATTGGATTTTACGAGGAGTCGCACTTTTATGTGACATTAAATAACTATTTACTGCACTAAAAATTATTTTATTTGCATTAAAATATAATGTTTAACGGAAATTATAAAATTGTACAAAATCAAAGTGCGGTAAATAGTTAAACATTTTACTTTTTTTATATGTATTATAATAGGGTGTCTTAAAATATCGCTACAAACCATAACTTTTATAATAAATTAGTGATGATAAATTTACTTAATTCACTGATTTGTCATAAATATTATGTTTTATGGCGTTTTTTAGACAGCCTGTATGTATGGTATCTTTTTAATGTATTAAAAAAAAGGTTTTAAAAAAAAATTGCGTTTTGATATGCCTCATCAAACCACACAATTATTGTTATTATTCCGTCGTGTTTCCGCAAATAAACCGGAAATGTAGATCTCGTATAATCCTTGTTCCAATAACAATTTTCGTTAATGTGTATTGTACACTAGGTAGAATGAGTGTTGTTACTACATTTGGAGCTCTCATTTTATCGGCTGGAATTTTATTGCTTATGGGTAAATAATAAAATTTAAACATTCTTTTAATTAAACAAAATAATATTAGCAGCGGTAAGTGGACAGAAACAAGTTAAAGAGTTCATTAATCAACATAAAATCCAAGAAAATAATAACACAACGTTTGTGATAGACCAAAATGGACGTTTACCTGTAGAATTTGTGTTGTTTACAAGGTCAGATTTGATTTTATCAAAATTTTTGTAATCAAATTATTTTCTTTACTTATTTTTTTTATCCAGGAATAACACATCACCGATTAAAATATATTTAAACACAACGTTAAACGAAACTGGTTTCGATTTATCTGTACCAACAAAAATTATAATTCATGGATTTTGGAGTAGCATTAATGAAGAAGTTTTCACTTTGCCTAAAAATGGTAAACATTTTTGATGACATTTTTTAAAATACTTCTAACATTCTTTTTAAGCATACTTATCGAAAGGGGATTATAATATCTTTGGTCTAGATTGGTCTGTTCTATGTAAATCTGAGTATTTTTCCGCCATGAAAGGTGCGGAAACAGCTGGACAGTACCTAACCCATTTTCTTGAATATCTTTTAGAAAACGGTGTTGATAACGAAAATATTCACTTAATCGGACATAGTTTAGGGGCGCATGTAGCTGGAATTGGTGCTGATAATATTAAAAATGGAAAAATTGGTAGAATTACTGGTAAGATCTTTTTGCATTTCTACTAAGAAGGGAAGTATCAAAGATGTACTTCGATCAAATTTGGCACACTTTTAGTATGACTCAAATCAAGGTTTATGTACTTTTTTAAACGTGCAGGAAATTTTCTTGTGAATGTAACGTTAAAATGTATTAGTGCGGTGCTTTTTCTTAAACGCATGAATACAGCTCACAACTGTCACTGCCATGACAGTCATGAATCACGCATAGCCTCCAAAATGGAACTGATTTAGACTTGGAATTAGGAACAACAAATCCTGGGCAGGAAGTACTAGCCGAAATTACAGCGAAGAATATAGATATTGTAATATCTCTGAAGTAAAGAAGAAGGAAAAGAGTTAAAGCTGGTGTAGGAATGTTGGTACAAGTTAAATTCCAACCATATATACAACTTGTAGATTATCTTAATTAATCATTATTGAAAGTTAAATTACAAATGGATGCTAGATTTTTATATATTATATCATTAGCATTTATGCATCTGACTCACTCATGGATACTTTACATACAAATCAACTTGAATTCACCCAAATCATTTTTGAACCTCACAAATCAAGGTACGATTTGATCAAGGTAGTATTTTCCACGCAAAATATACCATTTGGACTTGATTGATTTCTGTACTCGAGATGATAAGTTTGCTCAACTGTATCATTAAGATTTTCATTACCAGAAATGAAGATCGGAAAACTCCAAAGTTGACACTCCACGTGATATTAGATTAATTGTTGGTTGTCGTACAAAGCTACAAATTCAAGCTGGTCTTATATCTCGAGCCATATGCAAAACTTGGCATAATGGTTCATCGAATTAAGTAATTTGGGGAGTTTGTGTTTGAGATTGAACATTGGACTCATGGAATAAAATATGATTTGTTGACTATTATGGCATCAATAAATATGATTGTGCAAACGTTGTGATATGGTGGAATTTTATGTTGGCAAAGGGTTTAGTTTGAATATAGAAGGAAAACTTTTTGCGTTGTTTTCAAAAAGTTATTTGCTGTCATTACTACGTAGTTAATAGCACACGATGATATTAACGTTGCAGTTTGGTCATGGATTCGAATTTAGTAAGCCACAGAACCTTTTTTTGTACCATCCATATCTCGATTGGTGTCAGCTGCTATGTAATTCGTGATGTTGCGTCTAAAAACTTGGACAGTTTTCCTCTTATTTGGTGAAGATTTCACAGTTCTATCTTGCTTTCTTGATTTCTTGTGACCGATCAAAAGTGCACCATGACTTTACAGACACACTGTACAATTAGAGAATTCGTTTAGATTCACCTAATTAAAAAAATAATTAATGAAAAAATCTAAAAATATCTTTTAGCTTTAGATCCGGCTGGACCAGGTTTTAATGAAATGCCTCACAACTTAAAACTAGATCCAGGCGATGCCACACTAGTGGATGTAATTCACACCTATATGCGAATTTTAAGTTTATCTGAACCATTGGGACACGTAGATTTTTATCCGAACGGAGGCAGATTTCAACCGGGTTGTCCGAGTTTTTTTGATATATGTGAGTGTAATAACGAATTTAATTCTATTTTGATTTTATTTCTTTCTATAAATTTTTTTGATATAATTTGGAATTTTTAATAAAGGGAAAATATCGGAGAGTATCACCTGTAACCATGGAAGAGCTTACATGTATTTCGTTGAGTCGATTATGAACGAGAAAGCTTTTAAAAGTCAACGATGTAAATCAGTGGAGGATGCTATTTATGGGAGGTGTTTTGAAGATAGCGACGTTTATATGGGAGTGGAGGATTCTTATAGGTTTGTTTCTTACTTATTTAAAAGAATTAATCTTACTCTAGTTACTTAAATGTAACCTCCATGGTATTTTAAAACTGCCTCCTTTAGTTAAGTACATTTATTTTTTTTTTTTAGTTATGGAGTGTATTATGTAAAAACAAAACTTTCACCGCCTTTTTCGTTAACGTCTTAACTATGATGGGTTGCAATTATAGTGTAGAAAATATATATTAAATTAAATAAATAATTACAACAAACATATTTATTTCTTATTTATTTCGAATATTTTGATATAATGAACACACATATATAGGAAGAATGTTGTAAAATGACTTTAATAAATTCTTTATTATAATCCAAATATATCTCTTAAACTCACTTATTTTACTAGATTGTCTTAATGCATGCTTTAACTCAGACCATTGAAAACAAATATGTAGAAAATCTTTTTTTATCAAGGTGTCTCAAGAAAATTAATCTTTTCGAACAGTACCTTTAGAGGGAAAACTTTTCTAGTATTTCATAAAGGTTCTCGGTGTGTCGGTTTATTTTGCACTTTGCTGGTTTTGTTTTAAGAGTTAGTTTTTGTATTTGGTGGATGAGAAAAATGTTTGGATCAAACACCAACTTGATCTTTTGATGTAATGGCTTTCGCAAATACAATTGAGTTGGTGAAAAGTTCTGAAATAATATTGGCAGAATTGAAATTGCAAGTACACTTGTTTCTGATACTCATTGGCCTACTTACGTTTTAAGTTACGTTACTCAGAAAAGATTATCAAACTTATCAATCTTTGTGGTATTTCTAACAAACAATAGAGGCCCTGGACAGATCGAGTATATTTCGAGAGTACGTTACTAGTGGTTCTAAGAGTTTCTACGATGGTTTTACTAACTCTTACGTTAATAAACTAATGAAACTAACGTTTAACGATAAAAAAACTTTTTAAACTAATGAAATTGAAATAAACGGTGTTGTATGATTAACTACAGTTAGGTATTTTTATATGCCTGGAAATCAGCGCTGAAATCCTATAGTTTATGGGGAAATGAAAAATGTTCTCGGAGCTGACTAACAACATTATACGTGCATGAAATCATAAATTAGCTTATGTTCTTGTTCTAAGCCAGACTTCTAGCTATTCAGCAATACGTTTGGTATTCTGACACGGTGTGCATCTTAATTGTTAATATATTTCAAGGAATATGTAAATAGTGACATCAATAGATATATTGTTTGCCTAGAGGTCAATGCGAAGAAGCTTCGGATTGCACGAAGATTTCTGGCTATATATAAGGAATATATTAGTAACAGACAAAAAAAGGGAAGGTGGTTGACATCGAAATAATCCCAAATCGCAAAAACAAAGAACCATTTGTAATGAAAAGACCAACAACCCTGAAACAGATACTTGATGGAAAACACTACCAGAAAAGTAAAACTTGAAATAGGAAAAGAAAAATAAGAAGACTGGGATAAAAGACTTGCAAAACTTACAACAGAACTGCTGTTTTTATGGAAACTGATGCAGCAAAAAATATCATATAAGCTAGAAAAGAAATGGCGAATATAGCCAACATGATAAATCAAAGGAATTGGAGAAAATATTTGGAAGATGTAGGGTAAGATGAGGAGATGTGATGATATAGGATGACTTGATTATGTTTCTGAAAGGTCGCCTTAACAATAGGAGAGTGTTTAGAAAAGCATGTAGGTACTCTATGCGATGTTTATATTTTTTACATTTTATTTTATAATAATTTTAATTTTATACTATTTTGATTTTGTAATTATGCAAATAATATTTGTTGAGACAACACCCTGTATTAAAAAAATAATATAACAATCTAATACTATTTTATAAAACAAATCTTTTTCATCAAAACATAAAAAAAAGTAATTATGTTAAAAATTCTTAAGACATTCACAATCGAAAATTTTTCACCTTAATATTAGAGATATACATATATTTATATATATAGTTTCAATTGACATATAATTGATGACGAAAACATTTCGAGTTATTTTAAAAATTTATAGATTTCTTTTTAAAATATCTAAAAATATTTCCCCGATCATAGTATATTTTGATTACTTTTATATGTATACTTGTTATTAATATTTTTATTAAGTATAATAGGAGTACTTAACACTTTAACAATAAAAATATACTCTGTGAAATACAGCATTCTTTTTGGTGTAGGCAGCTTAAAAAAGGACTTGAGTAAGTAACTTTTTTAGCGTTGTCTTAAGGGGAGGATAAACTTATCAAGTCGATAACCTTTTTTGTTGTAATTTAATCGTTGGAAAGAAACAGAATTGTATGTGTTAAGCAAATTTGGTTTATGCGTTAAGCCAATAGGATGATTAAGAAATGTTTATTGGACGATTAAGGAAATTAAGATAGTACCTAAAAGATTAATGTGGGATTTATTATAATTAAATGGGTGCTAATCAGTCTTTTAGAATTTCTTTGGAACATGTGCCTCCATTTTTCTTTGAAACGTGGGTAAAACGTTTCTTGCTCTAGCACTCTTATCGGCATCTCTCCATCAATACCTTCTTTGCGTGCTTTTCATCTCCTTTTTCTTTCTAGCGGTATCGAATGCAGTACTTTCTTTAGTAAGCGATCATTCTTTTTACATGTCGGCACCATCTATGTTGAGTAGTGCTTACGTCTTCTATCTCTATCTCTTATGTCTGCGTTACTAATCCTTTCTAGTCTATATTTTTCAGCAGTTCTTCTTCAATAATCCATTTTTGTGGGTTTTAGTAGTGTTGATGTACTATTGGTAGCCCATAGTTTCGTATTTTCTTTTCCATTTTAATAACACGCTTTGTAAATAAATCTTAAAACTGTTGGCGATATACAACAGCCTTGTTTGATACTTTTCACAATATATTTGTGTCCTTATTCAATTTTTACAACAATTTTTGTAAGGATTTTATGGGTAGTCAAATTAATGAAAACTATTGAACAACTTGATCACACTAGCATTCTGTGTTGTCGGATGTTTACAAATTTAGCCTCCCCTTAACATAAAAACATTAAAACATTTTGTACTAACGCTTTATGATATTATTTTTATTTAGTTAGGTACATTTATTAATTAATTTGTTGTCATTCTTTTTATACGTAAGTATAATTTTATAATTGTATTTATCATGTATATAGTACACCTATATTAATTTAATTTATTCTTAAAAATAGACATGCGTAAGCTACGCTTAGTGGTGTTCAATTGTTGTTGTTTAAATATATCATATTCAATAAAATAAAATAAAATCATTAAGGGACCGTGGATATATAAAAATCATTGTAGATAATACAGGTGTTCCCAAATTGTGGGTACAAGCTTCACTAAAATTTCCTTATCTGATTTTATGAGGAGTTGCTATAACATGATGACATCTATAATAGGAATTTTCTTCTTAAAATCATACAAGGAATTAGATAAGATTTATATCTGTATTCCAGGAACACCAGTATATTAAAAAAAAGTTTATCACCAAATTATTAGATAAATTAAATCATTATAAACTATTTTTGAAATTTAATCTTTTTTTCATAATTTAAATTAAATCCCTTTAAAGATTTTAGATTATTTATCAAATATATATTTTATTTGTTTTAATAAGTTATAAAAAGTAATTGTTATTGCAAAAGCAAAACTAAAATTAACATTAAAGATATGTTTAAGTATATAAAGTTTAGTATGAAATATGAACCGTAAAAATGGTGAGATTTTATTGTCTCTTAACCGTTTTACCATTTTAATGATACCTTTTATGTTATAAAATGGAATATTTTTAAATAAATCATTTGATTTGCATATGACAATTATTATCTCGGAGCTTATCTCATACCAATCTTAAATAATAAACAAAAAACATAAACAAATACTTTTTTACGTAACTAGTAAGAAGAAATAGATAGTTAGTCAATGTTTTTGAATTTATATTTTTACGATAAAATACAAGAATTTCTTTTACCGTGTCTATCTCGAATCTGTTGCAAATGATGTAATTGCGCTGCGGAAGGAACAACCGCTGAATGAGAAGTAGCTCCTCCAACGACACCGTGAGGATCATTTTGAGACGGCAACGATTGTCGCCTCCTTCTTCTTAATGCCGGACTCAAGTTATACTTAACTTTCGCTTGAACGAGTAACTCCTTGAACACTTTTGTTACATTAACATTTTCTTTTGCGGAAGTTTCAACAAATCCGTTTTCCCAATCAACTGTTACAACAGATTCCGTTGTTGCAGTATCCACCTTAAAAGAACATTAAAAAATTAATACTCTTTTATAGTTAATTAAATTAAAAATTCTTTAAAGTGAGCCTTAACACTATAAAAAACTCATTTTAAAGAATTGTTCATAAAGAGTTTTTTAAAGTTGTTTTTACTTGTCTATTTTCCGTTAAATCGATTTTGTTTCCGACGATAACTATTGGAACTGCAGTTCCGCCTTTGGTTTCGTGTATTTGATCACGTAACGCACGTGCCTCTTCAAAACTATCGGCGTTGGTCACGTCGTAAACCAGTATGAAAGCGTCTGCTGAAGAAATTGAAAGAGCCCTCATAGCCGGAAATTCGTATGCGCCACTTGTATCCAATATGTCAAGGGTCAAGTTGACACCGGTTACATTGAAATTACCATGATGCATTTCTTCGACGGTACGTTTGTATTTTGTTGAAAAAGTGCCGTACAAGAATTGACTGATAACCGATGATTTTCCTACTTTTGCCGCTCCCATTACAACAATTTTATGTCTAACGTGACTAATATCATTTTTTTCAACTGTATCAACATCCTCACTACGTTGTGTTCTAGAAAATTAAGGTAACAATTTTTTATATTATTTATTGCTATGTTATTTAAAAGATAAAGGATAAAAATTGAAATAAATTTAAAGTTTAAATTTAAAATACTCTGAATATAAATGTTGTTGATGTTTACTAAGAGACCCATTGTACATTTTTGCATATACGAAGTAAATAAAGTAAAGGTATTGGGTACAAATAATGTATAAAATAAAGGTACATAAAGTAAAGGGTGACTACATTATCTACCAATAAGTATTTGAAAACCCATGCAAATGCCACTGCGAACTTATCCGATTTCGAAAAAAGTAGATTTCACAAAAATGGCCGATCTTTAAGAACCATATCTACTAAATTGAGTTAGCCAAAATTGACAGTGACCTATACCTTGTGCCCAATGCAATGTGCCAATAGTAAGGTTTGGCGGAGATGGGATTATGATCTAGAGATGTTTCTCCTGTATGGATTTGACCCTTGATTCCAATTCATGGTAAGCTCAACACCGACAACTACTGCATAAGTTTAGATAACAATGTGCTTCCTATGTTATGGCAGTTTTACGGCAGTTTATGGCAGTTTTACAGTTTCAAACCGAGTAGAAGAAAATACCAATCAAAAGACTTGTGGGAAGCATCCAAGGTTGAGGCTGTTATTGCTGTTTGTGGAAGCTCTACCAACCACTGAATATGAAAAACGTACTTTTTTGAAATTACTTGATTTTTTTTGAACATTTCCAACTAATTCTGTATCCTATTACGTTTAATAGTTAGCGAGATGTTTCAATTTTAATACAGTGAGTGTTAAAGTATCTTTAGTTAAGCATAATAATTAATAGTAACATAACAAAGTATTTACAACGGACCGACGATGACCTTTGTAGATGAAACTTTTGCAAGATGATGATTTTTATGTTCCCTTTTTATCAATTCTTCTGGTACGCAGACGACATCTTCCCCTTTTTCGATTAATTTGTTTGCTTTTTGTAAATTTATATAATTATTTTTGTTATTAATTCAGTTATTGCTATGTATGTTAAGAACAGAATTATTTATATACATATCAACAATAATACACATTTTAACTCTTAACAATATTAAATACTTGAAAAATCGATATATAATTATCAAAGCTCTCTTAGTAGAGTATATCTCTCGATTTTCCTCTATTGATGCGGTGGGTTGATTGAAAGAGTAATTTGATGAAGGTAAAGACTACTTAGACGATCCTGACCATCAAAATGTCTTACTCTGACGTTGACGAATGGGAACTCTTTGTGACCCTAGATCTACAGAGTTTTTCTGACTTGAAATGTATCACCTACTAATCCCGGACCAACCCTGATTGTTAATAATCCTGTTACGAATAAACGTCTTAAATAGAGTTCTAAAGATCAATGGCATAAAACTCTAAAGTACTTATAACGTATTTTCAACCGCATAAAATGCGCAAGTAAAGACAAAAAATCCAAGATAAATATTTTGTGCTGTAACTGATGCTATATATAGTTGAGATAGATTTAAAAATCCAATCATTGGGCTTTCTAAATCTATCTCAATATATAGGTAAGTATAGTATGTTATTGGAGTGTGTTCGATTAATTTTGAACCAGTCTGTATAAAGTAATTCGGTGCATTGTCTACCATATATCGATATGGTGCAAAGCCGAACTTTCATCATATTTACCGACCACAAATCAATAACGTTCGTATTTCATCGGAAACCGCACAGATGCTCGCCACGACAGTTCCGGTATTTAAACTTTTTCTACTTTTTTCAGAAATATTCGTAATATAGCGGAGAAAGACAATATTCTTGTGACACGATTCGGTCTCCAGGAAGTACCAATATCAGAGGCTAGTTAGTCGTTATGAGGATGTATACTCTGCCTATCAAGAATAGATCTCCAATGAATTTCCGCAAATATTAATTAAAAAGATTGTTAGTCTGTTGATATGAGAGATGACGCTTTTTTCGAAAAATATTTTTGTTTAATTATAAATTGCATTAAAACAAAAAATGAATGTAGAAGAGAGAAATGGGAAGGTATATAACATGTTAATACCTTTGTATGCAACCAGTATCAGTTAACAAAAATAAACAATATTTTTGTTCCATCAAACAGGCAATTCCAACATATCCATATTTAGCTGGTGGCTGTTTGTGTTAGGGAAATATAGAGATAGCGTAACATGCGCGAACAGATTTTCACGATGGTCCAAATGAGTAAACCTTATATGAGCCCTTTTAGAGAAGAGGGAACAATTTTTCAATGAAATACTATCACAAATCACCACCCTACAAATGAAAAGATATTATTATGCAGGATTTCAATTCTAGTAAGTATTAGCAACAACGTCATCACAAAATAAAATACTAATAACACTGACGAAATGTTTATCGCGCTCTGTGCGCAAAATGAGTTAAATATCAACAGGTATATAAACGTACATTTTCCAACACATGGAACCAAAGTTCTATCATTGACTTCATAATTACCAATAGAGAAACCAACCCTAGTCGAATACTAGAATTAAATAATCGAGTATAGTATTTAAAATTGCGTCTAAAATCGTTAATCGAAATCGTAAAACGTCTAAAAGTTCTTTTGCGTGTAATAGTTGGATGGTAGGTTTGTAGTTTAGCGAAAGTTTTTGCTACCAACCAGTCTACCATGTTAAAGACGAAATTTATAGCCACGGGTAATGAAGTTTACATTTTCATTAGTAAATTGATGTATACCTCTTTGTCTCCTTGATCTACCTTTTAAATGTTGTATTATTGTATGAATAAGCTGAACTGCCTCAAACTATTTTTCTTGCATACCCTTAATGTGCTCCTCGAATATTTGGTTACTTTTATCAATTTGGTTAATTCTTGCTGATTTGAAGCATCTTGGGCATCCAAGTTATCCGGCAACTTAATCGCTTCTAGAATTGATCCTAAAACGTTAATAGCGATTTATAGCTATCTTTATAGTTTCTCATTATAGTTTGAAACGATGTTTTTTCTGTTTCGTTATATGCCTTCTTTCTAAATTCCAGTAATGTATCATATTCCTCATTTAATTTTCATGTCAGCCAACGAAACGTAATTACAATTCGACGGAACTAACTAACTACACTTGCGTTGTAGCAATTATCTCTATTTATTACTAAATAATCCTAAGTCAGCAATGTCCTCAGTAAAACGTTTAAGGACCTGCTGCATGCAACTCTAGATGTTAGAGTACCATCATCAATATTACAACGACATTACCTTTACGACACCTGAAATGTGGATAGCTCATCTTAAAGACGATAGTCGAGCTTAAATAGCAAAAATTAAATATACTTGGTATTGACGACACAAGCAACGCGCTTATTAAGTATTGATGTTCAGAAATTTAAAAAGAATTAACTAAACTTTTCAACAAAATTATTGGAAGGTCTTGTGAACATAAAAAGAAGATTGTGTTGTAATCCTAAAAGAAGGAATTTTGGAATTTAAGAAGGAAAAATTTTATCATAATCCAAAACGGTGAATTTCTTTTGAATTTTTATGATAGTTTAGAATCTTTGAAACCACTCTAGCTTAATTTTTTATCATAAAATCGGTTTTAGCAGACTGAAATTTCAATTTTCATTGAAACTTCCATCCGGGAAAATCAATTTCCTTTCTCTTCGTTGTTCAAAGAACGAAATGGAATTTGCATAAATTTCCACAAATACCTTCCATTCCCAAGCTTATAGATTGGGTGGTTTTAAAAGATACAAAATTCGGTTTTAAATAATTCGAACAAAATTTAAGGATTAATTATGTGGTTAAATTTTACTGCGTCATTTGATCTTAAAACCTTTATAAATAATGAATATTTTTGAAGGTTGGGGAAAAAACTTTTAATGTTCTTGTTCAAAGTTTTTTTTCGCGTTGTAACAGGAAACTTTCCCGAATGGAACAAAGACAACTTTTTAAAACTTCATTTAGTTTTTCATCTACGTCGAAACTCGGGTAAAAAGAAAGAAAAAACAAGTAATTTGATCATATCTCAACTTTTGAATATTAAACTAATGTCAATCACTAACTGTGCCATGTTTTTTTTATTGATACCATCTTCAGGAAATTAAAAAAACCTTTGGAACAAGTCCAAACATGAATAAATTATCATCAAAATGAACAACTTGTAATCGGAATAAATTGTTTTTTTATACTAATTTGAATCATGTTACAAATAATAATTATTTGATATCTTTAGCGTTAAAGGGGATGTAATAACTTAGTTTCAAAGCGTTAATCCTTTGAGTTTAATAAAGCCCGGGGTTACCGCAACATCCTTTGTGTTATGATTAGAATGATAACATTCAAATTCGCCGACAAAGACAAAGCGTTCAAAATCAGGCTTTTGCGTTGTGGCATATTTAGCTTTTCCGCTTTATCAACAACGTTTATGAATATCGATTTTCACGCGAGGTGGAAAAAAGATAATTTTATTACTGTTTACTCAAAAAAAGTCATTTACGTATATTAGAAGATAATTTGATTAAATGATCAAACTATGTAGGGTATTAATTTTTTAATTGGATTCGAATTAAATAGAATTCAATTAAAAATGATTTTAGTTACCTTGGTACATTTTTATCTTTTTCGTCGGGTTCTTCTTTTAGAAAAGACGGTTGAAGACTGAAACGACGTCGAAATTGATGCCGGCTTTTCATGATTTCAATTCACAAATTTGATTTTTGATTTAATTCTGAAAAATAATTTTTGTTTCAATTCATCATATCTAACACAAAATAATTATTCTTTAAAACAAATCTAAACATGGTAAGTTACCTTAACCAATAACTAACACATAAATAACTGTTAAAGTAATCGACTAACTTTTTTTGGGAATTAATGTATCTCTTTAAGATAACCGCGTATTGTTTATACTCATTTAAAAGGATAGATTCTAATTTTTGGTTGATTAAAACTGTTTGATATTTATTTTGAATAATTAAAATTAATATTATTTTAATTTAATATATTCGATAAAACTGTTACATTTATGTTTACTCACCTGTCGATAAGATCGATGAATTTTTAGATAGTTAACGGTTGACACAAAACGTGCTACAACAGGTTGGCAGGAGGCCAGCTACCCAGCAGGCCATTAACTACTGTTCCCGGAGCGAGTTCAGACCAGATCCGGGTTTGGAGTTTGCGCCTAAGGCACTGTTCAACACGTACAACTGTATAGATATAGTTATGTGTATACTCTCTGTAAAAGAAAATCAACTTCTTTTACCTCTTTTCTTTTAAAAGGAAACTGTAGCCAATATTTTCTTTACAAATTCAAACAAAAATTATTTTTAGATAAGAAAATATGAATAGCGAACCAATTTTGTAATGTAAACTCTGTTATTGTTTATATATACAAAAGGGATTCTATTTTAAATCAATTTTTTAACATTTTGTTGTTTATTTAGACTGTGTATTTTAAAAATAGTAAGCAACAATTATTAAAAAAAGTAATTAAAACAAAATTAGAGACGAGAAATTAAATTTTTCCGAAGTTTTCTAACGACGGTCAATATTACTATGCAATATCAAATATTACGTAATAACATTGACCACTTGGGGATCATATTGAAAGGTTGTGCAATATATTGAGCAAATCAAATGTTTTTTTGATTTTTATTCTGCAATATGGAGTAAATTGCATGGCCTGTAGCTAGTGTTATGTAATATTAACTCAGTTTTATCTAACTTTGGGAGCGAATAAGATGAAAGAGATCGACAAAATTTTTTTGAGAAAATTTATTTCAGTTTACTTTACCAGTTTAGTTGAATTAAGTTAAAAGTTAATTATAATAACAAAATTTAATGAAATAAACAGTTGCTATAAACACTAATTAATTAATTCCTTATGTATTTTGAATTAATTCTTAAATAATTGTGCAAATAATTAAATAATAATGTAATAGCTGATTGAAATATGCTAAATTTGTTAACTAAAAACTCTTATTCTTCCTCCTTCTTCTAAAAGGGGCTAAAGCCAGTTCCTTCATCGGTTCTGCTCTCATCAATATGTTGTTATTCCATCTTTTTGTTGGCCATTCCATGCTTCTTCTGCCGTCAGGTGATTACTACTAGCACAAGTCTGTTGGTGTTTTGGTTCCATTCTTGTTTTTTGTTTACTCATTTGGCATATTTTCTACTTTGCATCTTCCTTTCTTTTATCTTCACTTCGCTTTCTGTCCCATCAAATTTTCCTTGAAAACCACTTAACAATTTTCATCTCAGTTGTCTCAAAAAGTCTTCTTATTTTTGATGTATTAGGTCTCGTTTCCGCTACATAATGGGCCTTCTCATTATTTTGGTAGTATATTGTTATTCTTGTGGTTCGATTGATAAGTTTATGTCTCCAAATCAGTTCGTTGTGGCATCTCGCCATTTTATTTGCTTTTGTCACCTATTGCGCAACTTGTTTTTCTATCTCACCGTAAGCTGTTATATATGTCGCAGGCAAATGGTTATAAAGGTATAAAGGTATAAAGGTTGTTTCAGGTAAATAGCTTTTTCCTAGTCAGATACTATCTCCCTAGGCAAATAGTTTTATTCCATTTATTTCAGTCTAAATTCTACTTTCCTAGGCAAATAACACATGGCTAAAATATTTTCAGGCAAATAGCTCTTTAAACCAACCCAACCCAACCCAACCCCAGGAATGCTTTATTTCTTTAAGAGAGGCCTGCACTTCACAGTCACGGCTTTCTGGGCAAGAGATGTCAAAATGCCAGTGCCAGTCTACAAAATTTCAGTGCAGTACAAAAAGGTGTACTTGTTTCAAAAATAAGATGATGTGCAATAGTAGATGCCATTTCAGCAACAATTATCAAAACAAGTAAATTTTTGAATTTAGTATTTAAGTCTTCAAGAAATAAATCGTTTATTTGTATTTTTATTAAATTTTATAAAAGTATATGAAACTTAAGCATTTTTTGAAAATGATACGCAAATAATTTGATTCATTTGACACTCATTAATGACTTTAATTTAAGAAAAGTAAGTTGATAACGATAGGAAGTACTTTATTTTATTTTGAACAAGTACCTACTCTATATTGCATTGTTGTATCGAAAAAATGGTATTTGCCTAAAACAAGCTTAGACAGATAGTATTTGTCTTGTCCAATAGTATTTGCTTACTCATTTAATGATAAAACTGTAACGAACTACTATTTGCCTAGGCAAACAGTATCTGACTAGGAAAAAGCTGTCTACCTGAGATAACCATTGGCCTGCGACATATACATACCCAGATACTAAAATTTCAATTGTTGCTCTATTACTTAACCATCGATTTCTCTTTTGCATCTACGGGGTTTTACACGTGGTCATACATTTTGTTTTTTCTGCATATATTATAGTTTTTCACGCGAGTTCTAAAAAATAATACATATCAACTTGAATTACTTATGTATAACTTAGGTTTTGATTGGTAACTTTGGTATTCATTATATTTTTATTATTAATTAATCTTTTATTGTTTTAATTTTTATTATAAATATATTTTTATTTCAAATTTTAGTTTTAAAATTAATATCTTGAAAATTGCCTTAGTTTTGGAGTTAGGTTGTTTTAACTGAAACACCAATGGTTTGGCGTTAATGGGTGTTGGATTGGGTTGTTACTAAATGGCAGTGAAGTACGGTGTGAGGCATTTAACTTGAGACAATTAAATAACTCATAAACAATTTATTTTAAGAACAATTTTTCAGAACAAAGTGTCATCATGTTTTATTCACATGATAAGAACTACTAGTATCGGTAGAAGGTTAGAGCTTACAGTAGTCAAGATCTATGAGGTTCCACATAATGCTTATTATTGTTGAGATCCAAAGGAATATTAAATGGAAACATATTCAATGATGTACTGATTAATGTGGTAGTTTTCTATTTCCTAATATGACCAGTGAATCAAGTGAGCAAGCTAAAATTTGTACTTTTGACGCGGACTTTTTGGGAGTATCAAATTCAGAAAGCTAATGTAATTTTGGTCATGAGAGTTATTATAATTTGTCATCAAGAAAGACTTGTCTTTTATTGTATTCTCTTTTTATAAAACATCTGACTTTTATTTTTAAAATTCAATTCGCTAATAATGTATCATCTAGTAGACAATAGTTGTACTGATCACCGCATAATGGCTACGCATAGTAGTCGCCGAACGCCGAAAAAATAAAAGTTATATGCTTATTATATGGATTAGTTAAATACGCGAAGAAAATTTCTTATAGATGACAGTAAATGAAATTCTATTAAATGGAAATCTATTAACTTAGACTCATAGTTAAAGTTATAGATGACACTATTTAGTAGATAGCGTAAAAATGGGTTCTACCACTGTATTTATTCTACAGAGACCGCTAACTATTACACAGCTTTCTAGTTAACTATCTATAACATCTCGGGCCGTTTTTCAATCGCTTTGCCATAGATAATAATGGGAAAATGGTCAGGTATATAGACATCATCCCTATGTATCAAGTTGTCACGATTCATATATATCATAGTTTTTGGATTTATTTACCTTTTAAGCCAAATTAATCTTTAAATATTTCAAGAGTACTACTTTTATGAGGTTTCTAGTAATTATCAAGAGATGGCGACCAATATCAGTTTCGATTTAAATGTTCATAATTTATATCTTTTTATAATAGTTAATTTAATCATCTCTACGCTTGGTGGTACTAATGATAAAACAAAATGCAATATTTATAAATTGAGAATGAATGGTTCACTAATAGTTATAGAAAATTTGAAAGTGCTATCTTACGCCTTCAATGATTTAATTTTCGTAAAAAATTTTATTCTCCTCGTCACACACTATTTTAAAGCATTGATTTTTACATGCTCCTATTTCAAAAGTGTGATTTCTAAATTTTTTTCAACACCTCATATCCAACTTTGTCAATAATATCCATTTTTATATTGCAATTAGTATAATTATTATAATATTAGAGTCTCATATAAATACAAATGTAAGGCATGTATAAGTCTGATTTGTAATAAATTGTTGCCAATGATTTAATTGATAGTATCTCTGTTGATAGTTCTTTTTGTGATCTGAAATATATCTAGTGTATTCTAAAAGATGTAGTCAACGTTAGCGAAATATGCAAATCAATTATTCTTATTTGATACTGTTGAATCAAATAAGAAATCATATAACATTCCATAATGTTTTGGTTGACAACACCATGGATACCCAAAACATTGCTACTACAACTAACTCAAGCCAAAATGTGTTAAAGATGGAGAAGAACACAATCATATCCTATGAATAAAGAAGAAATCTACCTAACTATGCAAACTGAAAATACCTAAATTTTGAAATAAATAAGGACATAACTTTATTATAAACGAACACAACAGTCGCAAAGAAAACTAATGCAAGGTTTTGCAGATTTAAAAAAAAACATTCATATAACATAAATATAAACTATATTAGTAAACATTGCTCCTCCCATAATCACCTAGACTGCTCCTTCGTATTGTTCTGAGTCTCAAACCTCAGTTCGACCGATCTCAATATTTGTTTCGTTTTTGCCAAAGGTCTTACACAGGTTTTATATACTCGGACTTTGAAGTTTTGTCGACATATATTGGTTTCTCCAGACGATGTCTTTAATATACTCAGATATTCGGTTATCTTTCTATCTTTCTATCTATCACTACAAGTTTCTACATCTATGTATTTGAACTTTATGGTTTGATAGATAATTTTAGTATTCACTACGAGCTTGTATCCAAGTGTTTTTGCGGTTGATATCAACATATTGGAATCTTGAGAGATGGCAGAAAACGTGTATAAAAGCCATTGTAAATTGTTTTCGCTTTCTGATATTAAAATGATGTCGCCCGTTTGCCACAGTATTTGAATACGGTTATATCCAATCTGTACTCAATATTCACCTGCTAAGAAAGCTCCTGGTCATTATCTGTTGCCAAATATGCTATAAATGTACGTATGAAGCACATATGAAAAAATGTATCCATTTGGGCTATATCAGTGTACTAGAAGTGGTACATATCTGATATATTGAATCGTTTTCATACAAACTTACACTTTAAATGGAAGTAAACGATAAATTGTGGCTTAAACGTCAAACAAATCGT